TAAGAGAATTCTTTTATTTCTATTATTTTATTTTTATTCTTTAAAATACAAAGATAAAAACTTTTAAATATTTCGGCCTATTTATACAGCCATTATCAATAGTTGTACAGAAGTGTTACATTACGTAGAAATAATAAAACTATGCATATATATATACACATTAAATAATTCTCTCTTTTCTCTTTTCTTTCTTACGTTTTAAACAAGACAATATTGCGTAAGATAAAACTAGACCTGACCAGAATAGCGAAGAAAAATAAAGTACTGTACAACAGTTTTATTTCTCTTAAAATACGACGACTGTCAGTGTGTAAAAGTTTTGAAACAAAATCGAAAAAACCAAAAGAAAAAGATAAAGAAAAAATATATTTATTTTATCTTGCCCCTCACGCAATCTAACGTTATTGAATAGCATAATTTCCTTCGCGCACCGATGGCAGGTAAACGTCCTATTTTATCTTTTTGTATCTTAAACGTGATATTTTAGCAAGCTTTTTAGTTTTAGCAGCTTTCTCCTCATTGAATTATTAAGGGTAGATAAGAGTAAGACTTTTGAACCATTTTTTAAGGTGAGAAATTTCAAAATAAATAATAAGGTATAAACCACCTTTCTCATAATATGAAAAATATCGCTATTTTCTGTTAGACGTATCCTTTCGACTTTATTTCAATCAATTATCGCTTGTCACATTTGACTGCTGATGTCGTTTGAATAAAGATGAAACGCCTAACCGAAAATAGAGATATTTTTCATAAATAAAGATGACTTATATCTTATCATCTATTAAGAGTAAGACGTATTCTGTTCCATACTCTCATGTAAGTGAGTAAGGTGTCAGTAGTTCAAAAAACGACCCAAGCATGAAATTTCATAAGAAATAAGCTAGCTGTACTTGCTGAAGAAGCGCCCGCTTTTCCATTGACTGCAGCTAGCTAAAAGAGTAAAATTTAGCGGGTACAGCTAGCTGCAACGGGACAAACCCACTAACCCGCTTCAATACTAGCTGCAGCGGGTAAGAAATATTATCACTATAAAACAGTGTACAACTAGCTGTAGCTAGAGATTTATTGGGCGTTACAGCTAGTCAAACTGTTTTGTATAATGTGTTCAGTACCCGCTGCGCAACTAGCTATAGCGCTCAATTTAGCGGCCGCTGCAACTAGTCAAACTAGTTTCTCTAACGTAATCATTTTTACAGAGACAGAAAAACCACTCCACTGGTACTACGCTGCAAAAATCCAAGAATAATAGACGAAATTTTCTTTTATCTAAAATGAAGGTATGTATGCCTTTGATCGAAAACTCAAAACATCGAAAGTGAAAACGCAGAATGTATAAGAATGGCGAAAACTTAAAATGCAGAATGTCGAACAGTAAAAATAACGGAAATGTGAGTTTTAAAAGCGGACTCGTATCTCCAAAATATTTCTCGCTCATAATTCTGCCGATAGATCTGCAAATCTTTTGTGCACACGGTCATTTTGTTTGTGTGAAATATTTTACCGTTCTGTTTCTTTGTATTATAAAGGGCCTTAGGGGTAATGTTCTTGAACAAATTAGACAGAAAACCAACCCTCTAAATAAAGCAGAAAAGTAGCTAACAGGTTTACGAAGATTTCACACAAACAAAATGTCCATGTGCACAAAAGATTTTCAGATCCATCGGCAGAATTATGAGAATTTAAATCCGAAAACAGTGCACTTTCAAGTTTTGAGTAAATGTTCTGATCATTACTCAGTGTGATCTTCAAAGTCAAAACTGACCTGGCCACAAAATATCGGGAAAAGTTGCAGTTTTCTAGCAAAGCAAGAGAAGTACTTTTGAAAAAACTTCCTAAAATATTGTATGAAAAACTGCATGAAATTCTGACATAAACTCCTATCTTTCTGCATAGCATATGGTTTTTAGAGAAAAGAGTATATTCATCCTTCAACAGCAAAATAGTTTTACGAGAAGGCAGCGTCTCTACGGAGAATACATCCGCGTATATAAAGCTGGCTACTTTTCAAATTTCTCTCTATTTTGGTTTAAAGAGCAAAGTGCACCAAGTACACTCCGAAATTCACATCTACACTATGCTTTACAAGACAAACTTGTGACGCTAGAAATCTAGGATTAAGTCTCTGTTTATTATAAAACAGATCCTAAATGTATCCTTATCTTTTTAATGTTACAGCACTTTTTAGAATCTCTACCAGTTGCACACTTTTTGGCAGAAACCAGAAGGGTGTTTCATAAAAATTGTCAAGTGCTCGACTTAACTAAGTTTAAACTAAGCGATTTCGCACCAACTCTATTTCTGTCGTATTTGGCGGGAGAATTGTCAGTAGGGCTTTTTTTCAATAATCATGCAAGTAGTTTCACTTCTTCACATTATTTTCGAGAAAAATAGCGCTCTACGTAGAATTTTAGGCATGACAGCCATCTTGAATGTCTATTGGTTAGCGTACGAAACGAATAAAAGAGTACGTAGCAACGAGGGCTGTATAAATAAATTAGTGGCGGCGCCAGGATTTTGCTCTGGGGTGGGCTTAGCCCACCCATTTTGAGAACAGCAGAAAAAACATTAAGCTCATTTCGAATACATTGAAAAATTTTCAGGATGGGCTTAATTTCCTTTCGGGTGGGCTCAGCCCACTCTTGCCCGCCCCTGGCGCCGCCACTAAAATAAATTAGCAAGATCGGAGCTGAGCACCTCAGTATAGTAAGAGAAAAATATTCTGAATCGAACTGTTGATTCAGATATTCTGCTGCTGTTTCATTTTAAATTTTCCACGTTGTTGACCTGTTATTTGTTACGGCTCGATGCAAAGGGCGCTACAGCGGCCATTGTAGCTAGCATATGTTTCTGCTTCAAACTACTAATAAAAGTAGCTAGCTGCAATATTTACCGTATTAAGCTGTAACTAGTTGCAGCAGTTATCTAATCGGCTGCTATAGTGCCCGCTCCATGGTGTGTGTCAATATTTTTACATTCTTTTATAGCTAGTTGCAGTGGGTTATGAAGCTAGTGTAGCTAGCTGCAGCGGGCATTACTAGCTAATTTTTTCATGCTTGGGCGAGCACTATCGATTTTTCCTTGTAAAATGCATGTCTTGATGCATTTTTACACGCTGATCACGAATATAACCTTATTTTTTCGATTAGACAAACTTGTTATGAAGAAAATTACAAAATACTGTAAGAGTCTCAAAATTCGCAAAAACCTAAAATAGCCCTTAGTTCTTTGCCATTCAACTTTTCACTCTCACCATTATGATTTCGGGATTCCTCATATAAAAATAAGTTTTCATCAAATTTTATTTTTGAAATTTTTTGTCTGGGGCATCCCTCAGGATATTTTTTGAAAAATTGTTTTTCGTCAAAAATATACAAAATGACATATCTATAAATTTAGTTTTTGATGGAGAGCACGAATCTGCTGTTATTATTTTTGTCAAAAATATGCACCAGAAGAATGAAAATCGTAAAACACGAGCGCGTTTAGCCATAGCGTTCAAGAGATTTTCATAATTCAATAGCCAGCAATCGTTGTATGGACTATCGATCATACTCATAAATTTCATTTTTAATGGGCATTAATTTGGTATATAACACTCTGTGGCATCATTTGTACTTTGAGCGCTACCCCCCTGGAAAAACATTTTTTTCGACCCTGTACAACTAACTTGACACTCAAAGTATCTAGATTTAGCGCTATAGAACTTAAGAAAATGTATCACGATACAGTATATATCAATTGAAAAACAGCATAGTTAACGCGGGCAACATAGATGTATCACAACTCGTGCTTATCAAGATAAAGACAAGGTATGGTACAGGTAGGAAACTCATTTCGATAACGTGTATAACATGATATATCGAAGTAGGCCTATATATCTCGGTAGTGTAGTTATCGCGTTGAACAAGATATTTCTCGTGATATTGCAGATTTTTTCCTGTAATATCGAGTTATATCGCCCGATAGTTGCTTGAAACATCCTCATGAGATCATCAGTGAAGCTGTAGAAACGCGGTTGATTTCCTTGGAATTTCGTAGATATTTTTATCTTTTTCGCTAAACTTCTTTTGAAAAAATAGCTGATGAATATTTGTCTGATTCCAAATCAAAATCTGGCTTTAAGATTGGTTTTTGTGAAAGTATCATAGTCTATGAGTGTAAAAAAGGATAATCTAATTAAATAATGGAAGAATTCAAGTTCTCACACATCAATTTTCTCAAAAACTGAAAAATTCATTCATTCTCGGCTGTCGATGATCTGGCAAGTTACCGACCAGTCAAACTGTTGAAAAGATATGTTCGACTAGTCGTGAAAACATCGACTAGTCACTGACTCGGCGAAACATGGCACTTTGACTAGTCATTTGTAAGCTTCGACTAGCGATGGAGTGACTAAATCGACTAGATTCTGTACTAGTCTGCATGGAACATCCCACTATATAAATAAAATTATCGAAAAGAAAAAAGTTTAAAAAATCAAACGGATTTTTCAGAAAATTATCTCTTCTTTTTGAAGCACTAAAGTAAAATTAAAAAACAAATGAATAGTAAAAATTTAAACGGATGAAAATAACTATTATGTCACGCACTACAGTCGTGCCATAAGGGAGAAGATCATAGTTAAGGTTATTGTGCAAGAATATTCAATGCTAGGATGGAAGAATATATTCAAGGTTATCGCCCAATATTTCGTATATAAATAGATCAATTTTATTATTAAGAGGAATACCTTTTCTATCTTTTTTCAAGGGTAACAATATATGAAAAATATTTCTTATCATTTTATCGGGTAACCAAAGGTCTCTACCTACACATGTAAATGATTTGAGTAGCCATTGGAAAAAAAATGTCAAGGTTTCCTATTCGTCTTACTGTTCCGATTCGCAGAGACCATGCAAGATGACAATAGACTATTAAAAGGTAATAAGAAAACATTTGTTTATCGTTTTCAGCAACTCGATAGGTATTTGTGTTGTTTTTTTTGAGATTATTGCAAACAGCTCCTTCTTAAGTTGTCTTACTTAACCGCAGAATAAGATTCAAAGTACAACATCATTTTATACCGTGTTAGAATCAAAAAAAAAACAAAATACTATTAAAAAATGATTCACAACGTCACCGAGTATTAGTTTTATTTCATTTAATTGACGGCTTGACATTTTTAATTCGTTTTATTATTTTATGTACGGATTTATCAGCTGTTACTAACAATACAAAAAATCATCTCAGTGATAGTCTGCGTTATTTATTACCAATATTAGTTTTAGAATTATTAAGTTCATTTATATTATTTTTAACTGATTCACTGTATTGAATTTTAAAAAAATTGATTGTTATCATGATGATCCAAAATTAATATTATTAACTCGAATTTATATTTTAATTGGATTTTGGTTATTAAGATTTATATCATTTTGTCTTGTATGTGCATGTGGTAATCAATATTTCCCAAGAGGAATAGCTTAGGCTGTTATTGCATCACTTTCTCTGGTATTATCAATATTTACAATATGTAAGTATGTATACGAATATCTACATTATAAACGTTTATGGAACTATCATCCTCAAGATGACTATGAAATTAAATATAATAAAGCACATTTATGTTTTTTACCATACTCAGTTATTAGTGATCAGCGAACAACTGAATAGCATTCATCACGATGTCGTCATGGATCAAACTGTCAATCAAAAAGTTTATTTCATACTTTAGTATATCATTCTAGTAGAGATCAATTTCAACCAAGAGAATTTATTGATCATCAAATTGTATTTGGATTTCATCAAACAGAACAAAAAGCAGCTTATCTCATATCGACAGATGTAAAAGGATTTAAATCAAGTAGTAAGAGTATGCTAGGCGAAGGTATTTATTTTGCCACATCAATCAATCACACAGAAAGAAAAGCACATTATTTTGGTGCATATATATGTGTTAAAATTAATTTAGGGCGAATATATCGTACAGACGTGAGAAGACCAGTATTAACACCTGAACTTAAAAAAAAAATTTTGATATAGTCTATTTTAAACATTCACAGGGTTTGGACGAATTTTGTGTTTTAACCCTCATCCGCTCACCTGGGGTCCAGCTGGGCCCCAACGAGTTTCAAATTAATGTTATATGCACATAATATTAGATCGAATCATGCCCTTCATGATATGCCTTAGTGAAGAGTAGTAGAGTAAGCTGATAACATCAGTTGCTCATTGCC